ATGTTTGTTTGGTGGCTCGTTCAAAAAAGTGCAGCTGACAAGGCGTGTTTGTAAGTTAGAGGAAGAGACATTAGCAGAAAAGCTAATGTGGGTTGTCGTCATGTTGTGTAGCAGGCTGCTGTCTGGCTCAGTGGGCCCGTCTGCTCTGACTACGATACATCCTAGAAAGTGCCATCATGAAATACACCTTCATTTCTCCCTTTTGTTTTCAGATTTTTTTTTTTCTCAAATGCAAACACAGGACAAGTGAGTATATGCTGATATGCATGTTGTAGCACAGTGGTGCCAAACCTGAGGTTCAGGGTCCCCACTAGGGGTCGCTAAAGCTTCTTCGGGGGTCACAAGGCCTTCTGGATTTTAAGGGGTGTGAGAAATTAGATTGATTATAATTGTTAAAAATGATATAAAATAAAAAATATTTGGGTTCATTGTACAGTTGAATATCATATGAAATATCCATAAAATATGTCACTTAAGCAGGGGTCTGCAGTTTAATAAATTATAGAAAAGGGGTGCCTTAAGGAAAAATGTTGGGAAAATAATGCAGTTTAATTCTGGTGTGCCTAAATGGTGAGAGTGGAGCTGCAGTGGCAAACAAAAGATAGTGGGCAGCTGTGTTGACATTTGTGAAAACACAATCTTCCATGCTCATTCAACCTAGTCTTGATAAATACAGGTTAACGGTTCTTTCACACAAACGGTATAAATAGATACACTCAGTGGGCACTTTATTAAGAACACCTATACAATCTAATGCAATATTCTAACGTGTCAATATTTGAAAACAGTGTTCGGTTATTGTAAGAACACCAGTTTATGTTCATTTCTTAAAAAAAGAAACCATTCAGGACACACAATTGATTGATAGATTGTACGGATGTATCTAATAACATGGCCTATGAGTGTATTTTGTTACTCACCCCTAATGGTATCCAGCCCCAGAGTCCAGGTTTTGAGATATCTGTCTTACATTTTGCTGCTGACTAAAGGGTAATGGGCAATTTGGCTTTTTCATTGGAACTACTAACCTAAAAAACAGTCCCTGTTGACAGTGTGCTCTGGGCAGGGGCATTAATCCTGTAAATACAAGTTGCGGTTTCTTTTTTTTTTTTTTTTTTTTAAAATGCATTTTCCCCCAATTCTTTAATTATCTCAATCAAAATTATACACACCTTCACTGTACCAGAGATCTTAGAAACGAATATCTGAAAACCCGCTCAAATTAAACCAGACTTACTGTATCTGCATAGCTTGGTACCATTAGAAGAAAGTGTATCTTTGTCACTTGAACCGACCCTTTGAGACCACAATAGAGCCTCGAATGTCCACCAACCTTCAGATACTGTACTGCCTTGTCTCCCATCTCAGGCCGAGAATAGCACTGTGCCCAAACAGGTGCCAGGTTGGAGGGGTAAAACTCGAAGTGTTTGGAGTGCGTCACCAGGTTGTAGTCAAACCATGCTCCCCTCTCAGCATCCCACAGCACAGACTCTATCGCCTCCAGTCTGCGGGCAGCAGCCTGGTCATACAGTGCAGCTGAGTCACCATTACCTGTCAGGAAACAGCACATCACCATTATGTAACAGCAGTTAGGAGCTAAAAGCATTGCGCAAACCAATGTTAGTTTCAAGGTCAAAGGCTGCTCACATACTCACCCAATATCTTGTGAAATGAAGCAAGAGTCTTCTCATTGAGGCACAGCAGAGCGTTGAGGTCAGTTGGCAGGATCTGACTGGTGCGGGTCTCTCTGAGGGTGCCGTTGTTGTGGCCGTCACCATCTATATACCAGCGGGATGTAAAGTCCCAACCAGACTCTGCACCCGCTTTCAGATCCATCCACAGCTGCTCCTGACGCTCTGAGGGCAGGAAAACAACATGAATCCACCAGTACAGCCACATCAAATCAGCCTCTGAAATGTGCAACTTATTCATGTATGTCTTATTTTGTTAAGTGGAAGAGCAAAAAGTTAAATAAGCAGCCTCTGAACAAAATGTTTTAGTGCAACATTTTTCAAAAGCTTTATTAAATGTCTCTTCCAAAGAGGAGGAAATAACTTAATGACCTCTAAAATGTGTTAGAGCAAACACACATTGGTGGCAGAAAAATTCAAGATTTCAGTGAACAACAAAAGTATTTCTCCCTTCAAAGGGCTCTTCTTTAAAATTGTTTTGCGGCAGTGTGAAAGAATGAGTGTGTTTAGCATTAAATATTCATTACAACATGGTACTGAGGTATTTTCAGAGCAAATTTGTTTTGCGCAGATGATCCTTGAAATCAGGGGAACATTTTACACTTTCCTGTTTAGGAGCAATTATAAACAACAGTACATTCATTTCTCTCTCTCTCTAATGGAATAAAATAACCATAGCAGGCTAATATTTCTCATGCTCAACACTAATTAGCCATTACTACCAGCAGTGAGTCGTTCAGCTAATTCCAGATCATCACTGTAGGATTCAGGCCTAGGAAGAACAAAGAACATTGTTAATGTGGTGAAGGAACCCCTTACTGTACCCACGTATCTTACATTTGTTTTTATTATTTACTAGTTTCCGACATACCTGGGCAAGCCCGCCTGCACATGATAACGGTTCAGTTCGTACTCCGCCCCATTTACTGTCACAGCCACAGAACGGTTCTGCATCCAGAATCGGTACTCCTGCTCCAGCGCTGGTAAAGCTGCTCTAAACCATGCAAGTTTGTGCAGACAGCAGGGAGCAATGTTTTAATTCAGATTACTCTTCACAGTCCTTAATATCATTATACACAAAAGTTGGGGTGTCACATTCTAATTAAGCATGTTAGGAAAAACAACACCGGAGGCACAGAGAGACACGAGCACTGAGGTTTTGATGTTTAATATGCCTGGGTTTTTTTTTCTCCTGCTCTGAAGGGACGCGAGGCAGCTGCAGAATGATAATGTGTCTGGCAGGACATCAGCTCAGGCATAAATATCACCTGAGGAACTCTTTATCCTTGGTTGCTTGATAGTAGCTCTCCACCGTTAGAGTGAGGAATGGAGGCTGACTGCGCCTTTCATAGTAAATCCGCCCACCGTTTGGAATGAAGCCATATCTGTAGTGACAGAAAAAAGTCGGCTTACTAAATTACTCAAAAATGAGCTTGTGGTACTACCTGCAGCGAACTGGACTTTCTAAAAGCTCAACGGTGCTTTGAGGCTCACCTGTTGACAAGGTAGAGGAAGTTCTGAATCATCCCGTAGGCCGTGTCTGTCATCTCTGACAGCAGGAGCCCATTGATGACCCAGTAGGAGTCCCTGTTGGGCACAGAGAGGTTCACATCACTGTCTGCACATGGCACCTCGGTGGGCTCACAGCAGAGACCCCTGGCTGGGCCGGGCTGTGATCTCTCCTCGCTCTGACCTCACTCTTCTCTTTAACTCTCAGACAGACAGCTGAGAGACAGGCTCCATCATTCACTCACCAGTAGTAGAGTTCCCTGAAGCGCCCCCCTGGCACGATAACAGGATGTGGGGTGTATATATGGGAGTAGAGCTCTGGGTGATCTTTAACGTCAGTGTGGATCTGGAGGAGAAATATTTCACTTTCAAATATTAAGAATTTGTCTCGGAATACATGTTTTAAAGAAAACTTCATTATTAGGGCTACAACATATGATGAATGAATGCTTTCATTACTGATAAATCTGAATTATTTTTCCATTCATAATTTGGACAAAATATCAAAAGAATACTCTATGTGCATCACAATTTCCTAAAGCTTAATTTGTGATACTCTAATTGCTTGTTTTGTCCAACTATTAGAAAACCAAGATATTCAATTTACCATCATAGAAGACTAATATTACCATCAAAACTTCACACTACAGAATCACCAACAATTTCTTTGCATATTTTCTTTGAAAATTACTTAAATGATTACCAAATATTTTAATTAGATTCCGTAGCGTTTGAGCTTTACTCGTTATCCTCACCTTTCTGCCGAGAGACTTCCACAGATTATGTATGCTTTCAGCCCAGCTGCGTAGCTCTTCGTCTGCAATTCCTGCCAGAAACTTCGGCCTGCATGTAAAAATCCACTCACGTCAACCAAGCACAGATGAAAAGTTAGAACATCATCTGAGTACGAGACATCCAATAACTGGATCTCACTTCTCTTGCCAGTCTGATGGCGTCCATGAGACAAACTCTCCACCTGGTTTGTTAAAGTATGTGCTGAGGAACTTCCGCAGTTGGGCAGGTGGAACAGTCGGGGTTGGCAAGCTTTGTGAAAGATTTCGAAAGGCTGACAAAACAACATCTGCAGGAAAAGACACAAGGGGGCAAAAAAAGGTGGCCACACATTGTTGTCATGCCAAAAGAAAAATTAAAAATAATAATAAGATGATTAACTGAGATTCGACTTACCAGGAGGTTCCCTCAGCTGCATGTCAACAAAGTACTTGTCATCATCAAACAGTTTAAATGTCTGTACCTGATGCAGGATGGGCCCAGTGCAGTAGATTTCACTGAAATTCATTTATGGAGATTAATTATTAAACAGACAGAAGGTTGTGTATTTGTACAATGCACCGCCATCTTGTCATAGTCCTGTTAAAGGAAGCAATAAAACCATATCACGGTCACTAAAAATAAGCAGGTGAGGGCAAAGGTCTGCTGACAACTGAATATACTCTCAATGAGAAAAAAAACAAACACAAACATAAGAAATGTCCGTTTGCTGGCTGGCTTACAGTACCTCAACAAAACCCTTTCAGACATTAATCTCACCTGTCACATGGTGGTGGAAAAGCACTCCTCACACAGGCAAAAAGAGCCACTGATGGCAAGCAAAATACCATCAAGTTACGCATCTTGAGCTCCAAACTGAAGTGAGTCCAGAGTACGAGTAAGAGAACTGCCTCCAGGTCAGTTTATATAAAGACAGAAGAGCAGCAACACACTGACACCTAGCTTTGAAAGAGCGGATTAACAGGACACTGCAGTGGTGGCAGAGGAAAACAAAAACTTCAGACACAATAAATTTCAGTGAGCTTTATTTTCAACAAAACTTTCAAATCTTTTCCAATAATATTGATGACATCCGTTGAACTTAAGTCCATTGTAAAATTAGCTTCACTGAAAAATCTGCCAATTAAATAACGTCCAAATTTCCATCAAATAAAAAAAAAAAATGAACTCAGGCTTTAAATTCACTTAAATTTGGAGACTTTTTTAAATAAGGTGTACTCCACTTGAACATTTCATTTGAAAAAAAAAAAAAACTTCCAAATTTAAGGGCAACTTTTTCCAAACCTTTTTAAACCCATTACCTTAACTTTGGATCTTTAGATCGTATCATCCCGTTTCTGTAATGCCCTAAAGGCTCCCCCCCCTCCCATGTTATTTCACTGATGCATCAGTCATGAAAGAAATCCTTAACGGACTCCTCTCACATCCCCATTCGCAGAAAAATTAAACGACGGCCAAATTGTACACAAAACGTGTCATTATAAATGTTTGGAGACTATCAAGAGAGGATGAACGTATGCATCAGGGCAGCAAGAGCACTAATTGAACCCTCCCTCCCCAGAATTTAAAAAGACCTTAAAGAATGAGACAATTTTGTTCCACTAACTATCCAATTAAATCACCCAATCTGGGGCAAGATGCTCTTGTCTCAGTCTTTAAGGTTCTCAAAATGGCAGCCACTGGCCGTAAGGCAGCATCCCGTCAGAAGGTAGTAGTACACCAAATCTCGAAGGATTGTTGATTTTAGCTTTGAAAGCATTTGCTGTGGCCATTACTGCCAGTGGGCTGACAAGAAACAGACAGCTGCCAAGTGCCTGTGCAGTTAGATCCCTGTTCCCTCAACTAATGATTCATTTCATTTGGATATTTTTCACAAACACAGCCCTCCCACCCAAAAAAGTTAGCCAAATCAGCCAAATCAGATGTGCAAGTATTTAAGGGGACAACAATAGAACTGAGAGAACAGGGATCACAGTCCTAACCAATGAGAAATAAAATGGTTATCCTAAACTGATCAATAGTCACCTTTTACCATCTTTTAAAAAGAGCTTAAATTAAATGTGCTATAATGATTCTCATTGATTAGAACGGTCGAGAGCATCTCACCATAACGAAGGGAACCTCATTTGCAAAAAGGTGAACAATCAAGTGGTCAGAACGCCTTGATGCACAATAAAGTTGTCACGTTGCATAAAAAGAAATAAAAATCAAAAAGAAACTGTAACCCAAACCCCACATATCAAAGCAATAAAGGGCAGAGAAATAAGCCATAACCTCAGCAGTCTGAGGTGCCCAAGTTATTTTTTGAACGAGCAGTCCAACTAATAGTCATTTTGTAATCCTTCTTGCCCATTCCCCGTACGTGCCAATTTTTTAAATGAATGTTTTGCACACTTCTCTCTCATTTGGGCATGGTGAGTGTACAAAAAGCAGTGCAGTCAGTGTTATTGCCTGAACCCATCTCTGTGTGTTAAGTGCACCCCAACCTGCTCGGGTTGTTTTTGTCGAAGCATCTTTTGTTAGCTGGTTTGAGTAAAGCCAGATAACATGCAATGCACAGAGAATGAATTCCTGCTACATTTTAGGTCAGATGGTTCATTTTGATGCATTCGGCCGTCACTCTTCTAAAAGGGGAAAATAAATCCACAGCTTCCTCCTTAACATTTGTGAAATAATGAAACCGTGCTAAAGAGCACATAGATCAACGTAACAGTTAATTCCTCCCCCAGAAAACAAATTCTCTGCCAATTCAGCTGCACTGCAGCGAGTAGTACTACTACATGATAGAATATTATTTTCTTCTCCAACAACACTCACTGTAACTGGAGATCTTCGAGTGTGTCTCAAGAGTCCATTTCACAAGTTAAGGCTGGTGACAACAAAGAATTCATTACTCAAATGCACAAGCTTAACAAAGCCATCTGTCTAGACTTAACACTTGTTAACACTGGTAGCAGGAGAATAAGGGCAACAATTTAAACAATCTCAGTTTAAGTGCAGCTTTGAAAAAAATTGCACTTGCCATCAAATTTGGAGGGGCTAAAAGATTATCAGTGTTGAACTCTGCCTCCAAAAACATTTCATGCACAAGGTCATTTAAATGTTTTAGATTCTAATAAATTCTGCAATTTCTAAAATTATAAATAAATTCACAGGCCAATATTGCAGATCAAACAAACTGGCAATTAAGGAAACAGTCTCCAGTGCTAACAAGAGAGAGGGGGAAAAGCTTTTCAGTTTGTCAGCCAGCCTTTTGAACTTGTTTAAAACAATCTTAAAATGAAGGTATATACACAAGGTGTAAGGTGCAACCCACGCCGGCTGCACGTCTTGCAGAAGTATGGCCATCCATAGGAAAGTGAAACACAGGACATTAAAGAGAAAAAAAAAAAAAAAAAAGCGTTCCCTACAATTAATCTCCACCGAAACCGGAATCCTCATGACTCATGGTGTTGAGAGGCTGCTTATTCATTTTTAGTGTTCTAAAGCTGAAGACAGAGGAAAGGGTCTGGGTCTTTTAGAAGCACAAGCTTCTTCACAAGCAACTGGGCAGTCTGGCTGCCTCTTGGAAAAAAATCCAGCATCTCTGTCCATGGAAAATCCAAGTGTGTCCTCATTCGTCAGCCAGATAGAAGTGCAGCTAAGCCAGCAAAAAGATAATTCAGACCAGCCTCCATCCTAATTATCTCCATTCCTTGCAAACGGATGACACAACCAAAAACAGTTATGAATTCACCTATGTGGTCTGACATTAAATTAGTGTGACGAATTTTCAATTAGGTGAACGTGACTGTGTGGTATGACGTGAGTAAGATGGTGGAAAATGAAGGGTTATTACTTTAGAACGAGTTGAACTGCTTGTTAAGGCACTTGATACAAATCGGTTAAAACTTCCAAAATAAAAAATGGAGAATGGAGGGTGTCACATAGTGGTCTGTTGGTGCTGGCTTTGTGTCATTCGTGGATATGAATCGTCACGATGTGCATCGATATATTTTCAACTTGGTCCCATGCTTTCCTCTAGGTGCTTATGTCTTCAGGGTGGGGTGGTGCAGCACAGAGCCCTATAAAAAGGCAAATGAGTTCTTCCGAAACGCATCCATCAAAATACACATTCCTTATGGTGGCATCCAAAAAACGAAGACAGACAGAAACTGTACATAAAAAAAAAACTCCAAGACAGGGGGGATGAAAAAAGGTACAAAGGGGAATGGAGGATGGACTGATCTGTAGAGAGAGAAAAGAGGGAAATTAAATTAGAACAGAGTGAACTGTGTAACTCTCCGTTTACATTAGTGGCCCCTAACTGTGATTTGTAGGTGTTAAAATAAATGTACTTTATAATTCATTCCTGAATACTGAAATTATCCAGTCATGTGTATAGATTACTTACAGCCTTCAACAAGTAATGACTCAATTCTTTAATGACAGAGTAAAATGAAGTGATATTGATACAACTACAACAGAGGTCAAACTAACCAATCTGTACCTCTACTCTATCTTTAGCAGCACGCAGCAGTGTACAAAACATTCAGCAGCTTCATTTCATCATTTAAAAAAAAAAAAATTTAAAAAAAATACAAGTTGCCAGCAGCAGGTCATATCAGTGTTCGCTTGATAACGGGCCAAAATTAAACTGGTTTGTTGTCAGGTTTCTGTTCATCTGCTCTCTGCAAGCTGGTGTCTGGCTCTGACTCCACTGTACAATCGCATGTGGAGACGAGTGTATTTGTAGGCTCCCACAACTCCAACAGAGTGAGAACTCTTCTCTAAAACAATATGGCTGGTCATTTCACGAGTTGCATCATCCATTTAAATTGTAGAAACAATATAAGTGAAAGTTTAAGCTTTTAAAATTCAGTTTTGGAACAGGACTTTCAACAAGACTAGGTTGAAACCTTGGTTTAGCATATAGCCGGACTGTGTATGGTCAGCGTGCTATACTGTGGCCAAAATGTTACACAGAGTTAGCGAGTGTCTACAATGTAAATTATTGAATGTTATCTGCAATTTTCTGTAGTGGTCCACTAATATTTGAAGTGTGCTGAAGTAGCAGATCACATGACATGGTTTAGTTATGTTTGGGTAAAAATAATTATAAATAAAAAGAAATATAGTAGCAAGAACAATAACTTTCCACTCATATCTTAAGATGTTTGAACTGGTTCTAATTATGTATTAACTGCCCCCACACTTTCATTTGTTTCTTCGTGCGGGATGTTTCTCCTTTTTCAGTGAGTAATGCTTTGCTAGTCTCACGAAAGTGAAGAGTCACTTTCGCTTCACTTCTTTACAATTCTCATCCCATCATGGTAGCAAAACCCTCCCATCACCAAAACCACTGTCAACAACACTCAAAATAAAGTGGTGTTCTCAGGCAACATGAGCTCATTGTGATGTTTCTGCTTTTCTCAATGAGTCACTCTGGTTCATCACACTACGTGACTAATAACCGTTTGAAAAGGCTACACCTGTTATATTCAGTATCAGAAACATGTTTAATCAGCATTTAGTTCAACGTAAATATCGGGATCAGACTTTGTATTGGCATTCAAGGACTCGGATCAGGACTGAGATTTTACTTTGGATTTATTTTTTCAGCTGACAAAGGATATCCCTCCTGCAGCTGGTAGAGACTGAGTGAGGTTTGAACACAATCCTTCAACCCCATGTTCTTCCTGTCTTACAGTACTGCACAGGGTTTCCCCCAGTGTATTATAAGCCTGCTGCAGTGGCAGAGTAACTTCTCCGTGCCGCGATGGGAAACACAGAACCAGTGGATTTAATCAATATTGGTTGGTGGACCCAAAATTTGTGCTACGTGAAAATATTAACAATATTAAGTTTGCTAATCCGTTGTTTTCATGTTGTAGGCTTGTCAATCGTTGGTTAGGGCGAGCCGCCCTTCCAACCTACCATCAGGCTTAGCAAGTTCTCTGGGGGAAACCCGGCTGCAGATTGCCTTCGTCATGTTTCATAACTTGGCTCGGTCTGTCTAAAGGTAGCAGACGTGGCACCTTTACTTGGCAAGCAGAAAAGGCATTGTCTAGGCACTGACAGTAATAATGGCTGAATGTAATGTCTGTCATTAATCAGTCTAATTATAAAGTGTCTTTGATCTAGGCTTGTGTGTAAAAATGGTTATATTGACATCAAAAAGAAAAACTGGAAAACAGTCAAATCATCCAGGAATTATCCTGAGAGAGTGAGAGTGAGTGAGTGAGTGAGTGTGTGAGTGTGTGAGTGAGAGTGAGAG